AACCTCCCTTCACCGCATTGAACAAGGTGAGGAGCAAGCACATCACATCAAAGTATGAGTGAAATATTTATCTGCAGCGGAAGGATTAGAGTCATCCGGGGGGTACTTATCAAGGGTAGGATTTAACACTAAATTGGAATTCCCCCACCACCAAGAGAGTAACCCGGTATATAAACTAAAAAGAATCAGCGAGCGCTTAAAACTAAAAAGGCAACCAGAAACCCTCTAAATCACATGTAAAATCAGTATCAATACTTGAAATCAATCACGTACTTAAAAATGGTAAATCATGGTGTGCAAACTCACAAAAAGAAAATTAAATAAATGCAATCATATGATTATCATAAGTGCTCCGAAAAATCAATTAATGAATAAGTAGTCCTTGTAAAAGTGAAGATATTATTGTCCATAAATCAGTGATACTGAGTGAGGATCTGTGTTCAAGTAGTCATAAATACATTCCATGTGCCAATAAAATATTTGGTGATGTGCCAGGGATATGGAAAAATACGCACTCACCAGATGCGTATTTAAAATACGCTTTTATGTATATGGTATGATCAGCCAGAGGTCCCCTTTAAGGTGGAACGGATGATGTAGCCTGGAAATTAATCTCCCTCCTCTGGATCCTGAGCTGCTCTGCAGCTGTCCTCCACACTGGGCTCATCCAAGTTGTAAGATGGCCTTCACGAGGCTCCGGCGGCGTGACGTCCCGGCGTACGGCTCCTCCTTGACAAGTTTCGTGCCACGCATGTTATCAAAAGACAGGCACACCCCTTTTGATAAAGTGCGTGGCAAGGAGCCAATTCCAAGCCACCTGTAGTAGGCACTCTTTTTAGTGCGGTAAGAGTGGAACTTAACCCCTGGGAGGGACCTCTGTGAGTTTAGGGGCTAAAGCTATGTGGATACGGTCAAATTCCAGTCTTTCCAGGGGGATCTCAGAAGCCAGTTCTTGAAAAAGGGCGGTAGTGGTGCCCTGTAAGTCAGTAATCACTTCCAGAACCACGCGGATGCAGTGATTTTCTCAACATCTTCCAATTTATCCTTTAAAGCAGTGGTTCTCAACCTTCCTAATGCCGCGACCTTTTAATAGAGTTCCTCATGTTGTGGTGACCCCCAACCATAATTATTTTTGTTGCTACTTCATAACTGTAATTTTGCTACTATTATGAATCGTAATGTAAATATCTGATATGCAGGATGTATTTTCAATAGTTCCTTCTGTAATTGTACGAGAACATTTTTGTGCCTGTCCCTTTGGATATTTTCCCATGAACTGTCATGACCAGCCCTCGACAGCGGAGTACTAACGATCTGATTATCAGAAAGCATTTTTTTTTTTGGCACCAGAATTTTCATTTCGGTGCACCACTACCAATAACACGATCAACTGATCAGCCATGGACGGGGAAGTGGATTTCGATCAATATTTGGAAGATACAATCTGTATGGTGAGAACAGAGATGTGGTCGATAATCTCAATCTCATAAATTGATGAAAATATGGTACAATTGATGGAAAAAGCATCTCAGTGCGGCCAATCGATGCAAACTGGTCGATCATTTTGCACCCTGGTCAATCGACTTAAGGAATTTGATGGGAACGGAAGTTAATCTGATTGCCAATTGGATCTGATAGTAAAATTGAAGTGTGTATGGCCAGTATTCCCCCCCCTCCCCCCAGGGATATCAGCCCTCTTCCACACCAAGTCGTCTGTCCTGAGGCTCCTTGTATGACCCCGGAAAGTTTGGGATTGCTGATTGCTGTGTACTTCCTTCTAGCGGACCGTGTGCCCCGGTGCCAGCCCTCGTACAAGTGCTGTGAGGAGAAGCCTCCATGGGAGGTGAGCGGCTGTAGGGCACACGCCCTAACCAGATCCCCCCTCCCCAGAAACAAATGGGGGCCCGGCTAACATCTATCCAGCTGCTGTGAGCAGCTGCCCGCCCGGGGAAACATGCAGCAGGTGCAAGGGCAGCCAATGGGTGGCAGTGGGGCACCTCTGACCCGCCCCTTGCAGGGGAGGAGCCTCCAGCCTGGCCGGTCGCTCATAACGCACAGGGAAGAGGGAGCAGGTCAGTCAGTGTGCTGGTGTTAGTTCAGAGTGAGAGGCTCGCAGCAAGCCGGGAATGCGGGACACCCTGCCGAGCCCCTCCGACCGCCCTCACCACTACCTCATAGAGTCTATCTGTATGTGGGTGGACCCGCCTGGAGACGGATAGAGGAGCGGTGTCTCGGTTCCTAAGACCATCGGAAATATGTGTTTTCCGATGGTCTTAGGCGACCCCTGTGAAAGGGTCGTTTGACCCCCAGAGGGGTCGCGACCCCCAGGTTGAGAACCGCTGCTTTAAAGTGTCCAGCTCAGCATGCAAATCCTCCACCTCTTGTTCATGACCCTCCAAAACCGTAGTCGCCAGATCCATACGTTGTTCTAGTTGGTGAGCACAATGTCCCAATTCCTTAAGACCTTTTACAAGATCAGAGGATAGCTTGCGAGAGGCGGTTGTAATCTCCTCCCGCACAATGGAATTGAATTTAAGTAATAAGGCTTCAGGATTGTGGTCAAGAGAACTGGTTAAAACAGAGGGAACTGGTGCTGATTGTCCTCACCAGAGTCCGGATCCCCTGTAAGCCGTGTAGTGTCAGTGGGCTCAGGAGGGCTGGGCACCATCTTATCGGGCTGCCGGAGCGGGGAGCCTTTTTGCTGAGCCCGATGTTTAGGCTTGGAACGCGGGGTGCGATGCATCTTCAGGCGTGGGCCAGATGTTCTGCAAGCACCTCCAACCTATGGTATCAATATGTGGGGGTGTAAGAGCCTGATATGCCGAGGTAGTTGTTCCGGTGGTGCAGAGCAGGGAGATTAAGCGACCATCAACCCTGGCTACGCGTGTACGTCCCCCGATGGGGGGGGATTTGTTTACATAGGAGCAATCTGCAAGGGACAGCCCATGCATCCCGACCCAGGCTTCAAAATGTAGAAGACATTATCATAGGAGAAGGGGGGGGGGGGGTAGACACAGACCGCCCTACTGAACCTCGGGGCCAGATCAACCTTCCTCTTCCCCGGGGAGAGCACCCGGGCTCCTCCGAACTCCTGTCTCAGGAAGGATTTCGGCCCCAGCACAGGTATAGGGGCAACACAGGGCTCTACGCTCCCCCACATAGCAGCTTACCTACCTGGGATCCAAGTCACGTCTGGGTGCTGTACAGGCTGGGTCCGGGCCTCATGCAGGCCACGTAGGCCGCAGTGGGCCTCAATCCTCTGGGTCTGCAGATGGGAGTCAAACTGGAGCCGGATCCCCCCTCCGTTCAGCAACAGTGGTCTGTGGGGATCCCCGATGCCAGCGGGATCCAAGCTGCCGAGTCCGGATATAGCACAGGCTGGGCTCAGGGCCTCGCATAGGCAACGACAGGCCTCGCGTAGGCCGCGATCTGCTGGGACCTCAGGCGGGGATCAATCTGATCCAAATCCCCTCGCCGGGCAGCGGCTAATGTCTATAGGGATCCCTGATGGCAGCAGGACCCCTCTACTCCCTGGATGGAGGCAGATTCTAGGGAGAGGCGGCGGAGCGCTCTACCCACTCCCCATACCAGTCGCCATCTTGGACACACCCCTGCCATTGACACTTTCAGATGTGTCGATTTGCCAGTAGATTCAGGTGACAATTTCTCATTTACAGATACATGTTCTCCCTTGTGTCAGCCAGCATGGCTGCAGGGGAGAAGAGGAGTTCCAACAATAGCTGGGCTATTGAAGCCTATAGCTGACACTAGTGAACCAGGCTTTACCAGCCATTGTCTTCTCTTGACAGACACAAGGGTGATCACATGACTGGACTAGAGCTGCCTGGAATTAGGTATCTATATACATCTTTCTTATACAGGTTAGTATAGGTGTTAGGGGTCAGTTTTAAGGATAGTTAGGTGTAAGCTGGAATTCCACTTGAAGTGTTATAGGCTGCTTTACTGTTAAGAACACTCGATAACAGAGACATTTAAGTGAACTGCAGGATTTGTACATGTTCTAATATCACATTGCTGTCAGTGCCAGGAACTGTACATTAAAATGTTTTCATAAGATGGTCAGAACCAGGGGCAGACTGACCATTTGGAAACTTGGGCACTGTCCGAGGGCCCGGGGTCAGTAGGGGGCCCCATGAGATGCCCCTGGTTCCTTTTTCATAGGCTTTTTTGAGTTTGGGCAAGGGGCCCCATGATCCCATATTGCCCGGGGGCCCCATGAGTTGTCAGTCCGCCCCTGGTCAGAACCACCAGCCCCTTTATTTCTTTTTGGACAGATTAAGGCCTCATCCACACTGGACTTTTTTTTTTTTATTTTGCCTTTACTTCAGCAGAGTAAAATTCAGTCTTAAAAATAGGTCTAAAGCCACGTTTTGCAAATGTGTTTAGGAGTATATAGACATGCTTAGGCGTGCCAAGTGTTTGGATGTTCTTTCATTCCATTGGGCAGAATATTCAATTTATTCTGGCCATAAGAATAAACAAACATTCTACACTAAAGATGCCTACTGTTTAGGTACGTTTACACACATTTAGACAGATCTAGCATTTTTCCACCAAAATGAGCATGCAAGTGATTTTTGTTTTCTGCCTAGAAAATTGTCAAACACCTCTAACAACAGGTTGTTAGAGTTGTCATTGCTGACTTGTTGCTGAAGGAGCATATCAACATCAAATTTAGGTACACTACTTACACATTAAAAAAAAATGTTTTTTGATGTACTAATAAATACAGACCATATTTAAATACTTGCCTGCTGGAGTCCAGCTTTAAATCAGAGAAAAAAAAATATATATATATTTTTGGATATATATATATTCATTTAACACACACACAACACACACACACACACACACACACACACACCATATTGCCAAACATATAGGGACACCCCTCCAAATCATTGGATTCAGATGTTTCAATCCCCTCTCAGGAGCTCAGTGAATTCAAGCGTGATACCGTCATAGGTTGCTACCTGTGCAAGTCCATCTGTGAAATTTCCTTGCTACTAAATATTCCACGGTCAACTGTTAGTGGTATTATAACAAAGTGGAAGCAACTGGGAATAATAGCAACTCAGTCACGAAGTGGTAGGCCACGTAAAATGACAGAGCGGGGTCAGGGCATGCTGAAGAGCAGTGTGCCGAAGTCACCAACTGTCTGCACAGTCAATAGCTAAAGACCTCCAAACTTTGTGTGGCCTTCAGATTAGCACAACAGTGCGTACAGAGCTTCATGGAATGGGTTTCCATAGCCGAGCAGCTGCATCTAAGCCTTACATCACCAAGAGCAATGAAAAAGCGTTGGATGAAGTGGTGTAAAGCAATCCGCCACTGGACTCTAGAGCAGTAGAGATATGTTCTCTGGAATCACGAATTATGCTTCTCTGTCTGGTAATCCGATGGATGTGTTTGGCAGTTGCCAGGAGAACAGTACTTGCCTGACTGCATTGTGCCAAGTATAAAGTTTGGTGGAGGGAGTATTATGTTATGGGGTTATTCTTCAGCGGTTGGGGCTGTGGCCCCTTAGTTCTAGTCAAAGGAACTCTTAAGGCATAAGCATAGCAAAACATTTTGGATAATTTCATGCTCCCAACTTTGTGGGAACAGTTTGGGGATGGCCCCTTCCTGTTCCAATATGACTGCACACCAGTGCACAAAGCAAGGTCCATAAAGACATGGATGAGTGAGTTTGGGGTGGAGGAACTTGACTGGCCTGCACAGAGTCCTGACCTCAACCCGAAAGAACATCTTTGAGATAAATTAGAGCGGAGACTGTGAGCCAGGCCTTCTCATCCGACATCAGTGCCTGACCTCACAAATGCGCTTCTGGAAGAATGGTCAAACCTTCCCATAAACACACTCCTAAACCTTGTGGACAGCCTTCCCAGAAGCGTTTAAGCTGCAAAGGGTGGGCCAACTCAATATTGAACCCTACGGACTAAGACTGGGAGGCCATTAAAGTTCATGTGCGTGTAAAGGCAGGCATCCCAATACTTTTGGCAATAGAGAGTCTACACACACACACAAATAAAATGGTCAGCATTTTGACAAGCCATGTCCAGTATGGTCTTGCATCAAGATGGCAAATTCATGATAACCAACTAAAACCGGGACTATTGCCAACTGTGTACTAAAGTACTAGTTAGAGTATACCGGAAGTGGAATATGGGTTTCAATCACAAAAGAAACCCCTTTTTGCCCATAGAGTAATCCTTTAAAGAGCTGAAATCCCACAGAAGTAGCATTTTACTTTAATACATCTAGTGCTGTAAATGGTACAGACATTTAAGCTTCAGCTGGATATTAATACGCTGCAAAAGGATTGAGCTCACCAGAAATCAAACAAGGCCAATGCACAAATTTACAACAACTCAAACATGCAGACTGAATGGCAGAGCCAATTCCTTTTTATAATAGAGCAGGCTTGTGACAGAGAAAAGCGTAGCCATTATATTAAACATGGTCCTGTAGACAATGTTCTGTGCATCCAGACCAACAAATGTCAACTTAAAAAGAAAAAAAAAAAAAAAAAAACAAACAAAAACACACGTCAGCTGCAATACATAGCTGAGGTTATTTTTTTAGACAACAATATAAAAGGCAGAGGTTTAAAGAGCTGTATTTTCAAAAGAATTATAAATAACCAATACTAGCAAAAGCGTGCCTGTACTAGAACAAACAAGGTGGGGATTTTACAAACAATTCTGAAGAAGCGTTCTCTGTACAGAAGTGAAAAGAAGTAGTGGACAATGTTTCTATTCTTATTATGTGAAAGAGGAAATAAAGGTTTCTATGTACAGGAGAGAAGTGGAGAGGTTATGACAAGAGAAAATATTTTCAGGAGAGGAGGTGTGGAAGATATGACAGTGGGCATTATGTACAGGGGAGCAGTGTGGAGGGTATGACAGTGAGCAGTATGTACAAAAGGAGTGTGGAGGATAAAAAACAGTGGGCATTATGTACAGGGGAGCAGTGTGGAGGGTATGACAGTGAGCAGTATGTACAGGGAGTATGGAGGATATGACAGTGGCCAGTATGTACAGGGGAGGAGTGTGGAGGGTATGACAGTGGGCAGTATGTACAGGGAGTATGGAGGATATGACAGTGGCCAGTATGTACAGGGGAGGAGTGGAGGATATGACAGTGATTAGTATGTACAGAAGAGGAGTGTGGAGGATAAAACAGTGAGCAGTATGCACAGGGGAGGAGTGTGGAGGGTATGACAGTGGGCAGTATGTACAGAAGAGGAGTGCGGAGGATAAAACAGTGAGCAGTATGCACAGGGGAGGAGTGTGGAGGGTATGACAGTGGGCAGTATGTACAGGGGAGGAGTGTATGACAGTGAGCAGTATGTGCAGGGGAGGAGTGTGGAGGGTAAAACAGTGAGAAGTATGTACAGAAGAGGAGGGTGAAGGGTATGACAATGGGAAGTATGTCCAAAAGAGGAGGGTATGACAGCGGGCAGTATGTACAGGGAAGGAGTGTTGAGGGTATGACAGTAAGCAGTATGTACAGAGAGTGTATGACAGTGAGCAGTATTTACAGGAGAGGAGTTTGGAGGGTATGACAGTGAGCAGTACGTACAGGAGTGGAATGTGGAGGGTATGACAGTGGATAGTATGTGCAGAAGAGAGTGGAGGGTATGACAGTGGCCAGTATGTACAGAAGAGGAAAAAATAGATATAAATCCTCCTGCACTTAAATGGGCAATCCCTATAGCTAAGCAGCTCACACCGAACCTAAACCTGATAAGTGAAACAAGCAAATTTAAAAAATGGGTGTAGCGCTAATATGCCAAAAACATAATATTAAACAAATGAATACATAAATATATGTGCATATCACACACACATAAATAACAGGTGATAGGATGAAAACCAGATCCAAATGGTGAGTATTTATATAGTGAAAAGTGCCCAAATGTTGTGAAGTGAATAAAAAAATATTATATACAACCCCCTTATCCCAACTGGGGGATAAATAATCTATCAACGAAATATATAATAAATGGTGAAAAAATAGTGACTCCCCCACAAATAAGGGATAACAGTGTCCCCTAACTAGGGGATAAATGAATATACAACAGTGATAAGTCACCTATAAATGGTGATAATAACAAATACATGTTCACAAAAAAACCACAAAACATCAAAAAAAATACAGTCCACATAAATTCAGTCCAATTCAAATGAAAACTTGCACGTGATCCAGTGAAAAAATCGTGCTCACAGCAAATGTGACTATCCAACATTAGTCAGAGTGCCCCCTCACCTCCTTAAGTTGACCACAAGGGCCAGCTCGCTTTTAGGATCACCCACGATCCTTACAGGAACTATTACATCACAGGGGAAAATCACCGCACTGGATCTCATCAGAATTGCCACTTACTCCTCCTGGGTCCACTCCAGATAAAGATGCTCACAAAAGCGCTCTTACTCTGTCAGAGGATCATGATAATAAAACAAAAAAATCCTCCATAGTGTAATCCAGTTTATTGCTTATATAGATATAAAATGCCAAAAAATTGCCCACTCACATTAGACAGGAATAAATTCAGCTTTTCCTCATGTAATGGGTGTACTGCATGAGTATCCTGGTGTACCAAGATGGCGCCCACGCCGGAAATGACGTCACCGAGCACCGGAAGTCCGTCACCGCGCACCAACGCGTTACGTCACGCTGACCACGTGACTTCATCATTACTCTAACAGTAAAGAACCCATTCTTTGATCTAAATTTGAATTTCTTTTATTTTATCCTCAAATCATGGCTGCCTGTACTCTTCAGAGATCTTACAGTAAACAGTTTATTACATTTCTTGCAGTCACCTTTGATATTTGTACATTGTAATTATATTCTCTCTTAAGCTCCTCTTCTCTAGAGTGAATAACTGTATTCTTTGCAATCGATCCTCACAGCTAAGGTCCTCCTTCCCCTTTAATAACTTTGTTGCCCTTTTCTGAACGCTTTATAATTCAACATCTTTCCTGAGAATTGGTGGCTATAACTGAACTGCATATTCAAAATGAGGCTGAACTAGTGTTTTGTAAAGCGGTAGAATTATTGATTTATCTCTGGAATGTATGGCATTTTATGCATGACAGTATTTTGCTAGCTTTGTTAGCTGTAGTTTGGCATTGCATGCTATTGCTGTGTGTTGCATGCTACCTCTGTGATAAACATGTACCCTTGTACTCTGCCTGCTTTTGCAGACCTCACTGAAGACCAGATGTAGGCAGGTGGTGGGCTGCAGTAAGTCCACTGACCTAAAGGTGGTGCTATTCCATTCCTTTAGGCCAACAGGAGGCCATAAAGGTCTATTCTTTACCCTTTATGTGCTTTGTCTGCCATGGCAGAAGATGGGACTTGTAGTTTATTCATTCACAAGTTAGCAGTTGACACATTACAAGCCATTGTAAGCCTCAGCTTCAGTGTGGGTTGATGACACCTTCAGCCATTACATTTTAAAATCCCCACAGTCTACATCAAAGGGGTTCAAGAAGGCAGTATTTTTAATATGAAACGAAGATCAAGAACTTGAAATTGATCTTAGAAAGTATTTTACCAAAAGGGTAGTTGATGCTTGGAATAGACTTCCAGCAGAGGTAGTGAGTCAGTCAACAGTAAGTGTGTAGGCAGGTGCAGTATGTTTTCTCCACTCTGGGTGGTGCTCAACTTGAGTGGTACCAGAGCCTGGAGAGGAAGTCAGGGGAAACATGGTTTCTCTATGGTTTCCTAGGTCACGGAAGCAGTGTTCTGGTTGGCTACGGTGCATCCAGGTGACCCCTGGTGGCCATCTTGGGTAAGCAGAGACGTTATAGATCCCTGCCTCCAGGGTTTGGGGAGCATTTGCTAATGAGTAGTGTGAGGAGAGAGACCCTGTCTGACAAGAAAAGTGATTAGCGGCAGGGAAAGGTTCCAGGTGAGTAGGGACTTGCTATCCTGCAAAGAAGCCTCCCCTTTGGGTCTGGACCGGACAGTCTGCATTCCAACCTCTGAGACAGACACTGTCGGTGCATCTCTTTCTGCTGCATCTCTGCATTGAACTGAACGGTCAGTGTTTCCTAAGCAGCACTCTCCCACTGGGGTGTTTGTAGTGTGGCCTTCTCTTCAATACAAGTATCAAGTTATATTGCAACTGAATGCGGAGGACAAACAGATCTATACTCAGACAAAACATTTAACGAAAAAAAAACCCACAAAACATGTAATAAAAAACAAAACACGGGCAGACTCAATGGCCAGTTAAATATTCTATCCCTACCAATCCCAACACAAAGACTTCAAAGTCATTTTTAGAAAGTGGCACTAAGCCCTCACTCAACTCCACCAGCCTGTCTCT